GATCGTATCTCGAAAATTTCGTAAGTAGGGGCGTTCGTAAGTAGAGGTACCACTGTAGTAGTTATGTTGACAAGAAAACACAATAACACCAGATAGGTACCCTTCCTGCAAATTATTTGCCTTTTTCATCTTCATCTCTGATATATTCTTGGAATGTGTGAAGTTCAACAAGACTTCAAATTTCTTTTGTCCATTGGAGATTGAAACAATAAGACGCAAACCCCAAACACACAAACTCTCTATCATTGCTCTTCCCAAAGGACAACACAGCAAAATATTCAGATAGTTTAAAATGGATTAAAAACACTGATGCAGAACATATTATGTAGAGAAGGCTAGATGTGCTGACTGGTCAATCCATACTTCAGATTCTATCTGGTATATGACCTATGGTCAGGACATTATCTCTATATCATAATACAGAGGTCAAGATTTATCTTTGAAATAGCCCCCTCTGCTCCAAATGTGATTGTATATGCTATGGAAGAAGGATGATATTTATTTCTGGAAAGAATCAGTGCTATGAAAAACAATTTTTTAAAGTTACCCTGACCATCACACCGAGGCATTTCTTAGTGTTTGCAAAGGAATTGTTTCACATTGCAGAAGATTCAGGCTATATTCCTGAATTTATCCCGAGTTCACCATAATATTGTGTTGTCTGCTTAGCTTAACGTGCAACTCCATCCCAAGGGGGCAAAAACTGGTTTTCAAACCAAGGATATCCCACTAAGCCAAAAAAAGTAAACAAATCACATTATGGTTTAGGATTACATGCAGACCATTCTGAATGTTCCTCAATGCATACCCAAACCCTGTAGCTTTTCTTACAAGAGAAAGCAGGCTTTAGGGAAAGGTCGTCCACCAGGACTGTGCTTCACGTGGAGAAGCAACCGGTCAAGTTCCAAGACTTTACCGAAGAGTTCAGACTTCACAGAGAAAAAAAAAATCTGCTCTTTTTTTGTGCATGCTTAAAAATTTCCCTGGGGGACGCGGTGGCGCAGCGGCTTAATGACGCTGAAAGTTGCCGGCCAGAAATGGCTGACGCTTCGG